CTTCGGCCGCATGGCTGGGCTGGGCCAGCCACAAGCTCTCAGGTCAGGGCCTGGGCTTGTCCCCAGCTCCTGGTGCCACATTGGTGCCACACGCGGGGCTGGCACGGCCGAGCAGGGCACCGATGGCCCTGGCGCTTGGTAAGTGACACGACTGCGGGGAGCAGAGGTGGCTCTCTGTGGGCAAGACACCTGCTTAGTTGGTGCGACTGCGGCGTGTCCCCACCCGCTGGCCCCCACTGCAGGCAGGTGGGAAGTCATGCTCAGCCGGCTCACGAGGACCCGGCAGAACAACTGCCTGCACCTCGGGGCATAAAGCCACTGTCGCCTAAAGGTCAAACACGCCGTGCCCCAGCAGGCTCGGGGCGACCAGCCCCCACCGTGGACAAACGGGGGCGCCTTCGTTGGTCCTGGGCAGCTGCGCCACCCTCAGCTCTTTCTGGGGTTGGGTTGGGTGGGAGGAGCTTCGCTGCCCTTAATGGGGTTCTGAGGCCCTGAGGGATGCCCGCTGTCTGGCTGGGCTTGGGCGGGTCTCGGGCAGCAGACTCACCCTGATTGTAGAGCCTCTGGATCTCTTGGATGGTCTGGACACTGGCCGACCTCCGGAACAGGCCCTCAGTGCGAAGCCCTGCAGGGAGAGGAGCCGCCAGGGGTTCCTGGGTCCCAGCACACAGGCCTTCCCCCTCACCTCGGCGGCTGGCAGGGCGTGCTCTCCAGCCTGGCTCCAGTTTCCCCCCTACCCCTCAGCTCTGCCTATTCCTCTGAAATCTCTCCCAGATTCCCCCACCCCAATTTCCCACCTTGGTGGTCCCAGAAAAGGGAGAACAGAGACAGATACCAAAGTTAGACAGACCTAGGCTCCAGTTCGGCTGCCTCCTACCAGCTGTGTGACCCTGGAGAAAGCTCTCTGCCTCTCTGGGCCCAGCTGTCCCTTCATCTACAGTAAGCCCCAAGCTTACTCTGGGAGACCGGACAGGACAAGGCCTGGCATGTGCTCGATGCCAGGAGGCCTCCCGCATGCTGGGTCCCTATTCCCCAGGGACCCAGGGTGAGCCACCTGGCATGGCAGCTGCTAGCTGCTCTGGTGACCAGAACGTAAACTTACTCATTAAAGAAAAAACACCACAGGAGCCATGTGGGAAGGGCCTGCTGGGCTACTGCCACGGTGGCTGGTGGCTTGCATTTTGAACGGCCCTGGTGAGGAGCAGGTGACACCCGAGGACTTGTCTCGGTTCTCAGCACTTGTGATGGGCTGAGCCCGTGGCTGGGGGGGTCGGGCCGACTGA